CGAGGCACAAAAGAAGCAAGCCTAGAGCAGCAGGAAGGGGTGGTCTGGCTACAGACTAGTTTGCTCTAGATCTCTGAGTGGATTCCATGGTGTGCATTTGCCATGGTTTATTCCTTCTCCTATTGGACCTTTCTGGTTATTCATATATATATATTTTCTATTTCAAGTAAACTTGCTGTGCAAGATTGTCCTTGTGCATCTAGTGGGGAAAACAACAAAATTAATTGCTAATATTCTTTTATTTTTTTTTCAATTTTTCTTTTGGCTTTTGGGTGATACCCAGTGATGCTCAAAAGTAACTCCCGGCCCTGCACTCAGGAATAACTCCTGATGGTGTTCCAGGGACCATATGGGATGCTGGAAGTCGAACCTGGGTCAGCTGCATGCAAGGCAAAGACCCTGCCCACTGTACTATCTCTCTAGTCCCTAATTGTTAATGTTCTTAAAACTTCTTCCTGTTCAGGGGCTGTAACAATAGTACAGCAGGTAGTGTGCTTGCCTCGCATGCAGCCAACCCACGTTCAGTCCCTGGCACCCCATATGGTCCCTCGAGCACTCCCAGGAGTGATTTTTGAGTGCAGAGCCAGGCATAATCCCTGAGTATTGTCAGGTGTGCCCCCCAAAACAAAAAAAGAAAAGCAAAAAAGAACTTCCTATTCAGAATCCAACACTTAGATTCAGATTTTGATTTATATATCTTGTCTGTGGCATCAAGAGCAGTTATTTATTTTTTCAATCTGTGAAAGAACAGAAAGTCCTTGACACTACTCATTGTTGTTGATGTTGTTTGTTTTTTGGTTTGGGGCCGCACCCGGAGGGCTGAGCCTGGGTCAGCTGCTTATAACGAGGAGGCAGTGTCCCCCCCCCCCCCCCCATACTGTCTCTCCAGCCCTGACAGTAGGCTTTTAAACCGCCTCTAATCTTGTGAACCTGGCCTCATCTGCCAGTTTCACTGATAGTTGAACATACTTGAGATATGATTCCACCCCAGTCCCTCACCTGCCCCCCAAGTCCCTGCCTGTCAGGTTTTGGTTGGGAGGTTTTAGTGGGGTGAGGGGCCACACATGACAATAATCAGGGCTCTGCACTCAGGAATCACTCCTGGTGGTGCTCAGGGGATCATAAGGGATGCTGGGGATCAAACGCGGGTTGGCCACATGCAAGGCAAGCACCTTACTGTACTATCTCTCTGGACCAACCTGCTAGATTTTGGAAGTGCTCCAGTCTTTTGAAAATCCCTGGAATTTTATCCCTGTTATTCATTCTAATGACTTTGATGCCAGTGCTTTTGCTACCTGGGTGCGTGCAATGCATTCCTAAGTATGTCACCAGTGAAACTAGGCCAGCAGCAGTTGTGGAAGCCATCTCAGTTTCAGAATGTGAAGGTTGGGGCTTGAGCTATAGTATAGCAAGCAGGGCTTTGCTGGCCTGGGTTCGATTCCTGGCACCCTGTAGGGTCCCCTGAACACTAGCAGGACTGATCCCTGAGCTCAGTGCCAGGAGTAAGCCCTGAACACTGCTGGGTGTGGCCCCAAAACAAAACAGAAAGAGAAGTGTTGGAAACGGTGTGTTTACTTTAGAGAGAGAGGTTCATCCAGTTCATCAGAAAGTGAAGGGCTGGTGGACAGATGTTCTTGCCCAGTTTTACATAACCCATCGGCGGGAGCTGGAACCAGAGCAAGGTTATACAACCCCGTTGTTCCTTTGCCTTCCATGGGATGGGCTTTCGCTGCTTTGGTTTTGGAGCATTGCAATTAAAGCTTTCAAGGTGGCTGATGGGAGGAAAAGAAACTGACTCTGTATGTGGAAAAGAAACCTAAATGGGAAACTATAGACCTGAACACATGGACTTACAAGCAGGAGGGGAGCCCGCTTCTCATAGCCCCTGAGCTTCGGCCCGTCTCAGCCGTGCTGTGCTCAGGAAGTGCAGGGGGTACTCCCTTGCACATGACCAATCCCAGGTTTGATCCCCGGCACCACATCTGAGCACAGACTAGGAGTTAAATGCCTTGGGCTGTGGCCCCCCAACCCAAAGCCAGCCCCCCCAAAGGGAAAACGCTTCTTGTTTCTACTTTGAAAACTCGGGTGGCTCCCTTGGCCTGGCAGAGCAGAGGCCAGGGTCCTCGACAGGGCAAAGAGGAGGTAGAAGGACACCTGTCCCTTCTCATGCACCATCTCTCTGCAGCGGAACTGCTGCTCACTCCCCAGTGCTCTGCCGTCCCTTTCCCTCCATGATCTGCCCTGTCTTCCTGGGATGCTGGAATGACACTCTTCCCCACACCCACCTGCGACCTCCACCTTCCAGGCTCAGTACAGGAGTCTCTCAACCCCCTCTTGGACCCCAGTGATTGTGTGTGTGTGCGTGCATGAGTGCGTGCGTGTGTGTGTGTTTGTGTGTGTATGTGTGTGTGGTTTTAGGGGGCTGCCTCCCAAGCAATGCTCAGGAGACCTAGGGGCTCTGCCTGGCAATTCTGGGCCAACCAGGCTAGCAGTTCAATGAAGTTCCCAAGGAGGCAGCACTGCTCAGGGCCTGTGTGTGTGTGTGTGTGGGGGGGGTGTTCTGGGGACCTTCAGGGGCACACCCAGCAGTGCTTGGTTCCCCGGGAGCCTTTAGAGCTACACCCAGAAATGCTTGGAAGGCCATGTGCTGCCAGGAACCAAGCCCGGGTACGCCCTAACTCCTGGGCTGTCTCTCAGCCCCTCTCGTGTTCTTCAAACCTCCCTTAGACACAAGTTCTGTTAGAGCACTTGTCAAACGTCGTTCTTGCTATTTTTGTTTCCTGAGTTGTGGACTCCTGAGGGAAGATGTCGTGTCCCGGTTTATTTTTGTATTCCCATTTCCTGGAGCTATGCCTGGCAGAGAGCAAGGACTTGGCGAATACTAATTGTCATGAGTGAAAGATGCAATGGATGTTAATCCCTCCCAAGGAGACACACAGTCTGTGAAGCACATCTCCAGTTCCCTGGTGTGCTATTATATTCCTGGAATCTCTTCTGCAAGGGAAGAAGCCATTGGAAATTCCATTTTGTGTGGAAGTTTAGGAATGAGGTGGTTTTACTGAAGGTGATGGAAAGGTGAAAGGGATCAAAGGTTAAAAAAAAGAATTAGGGAGGGCAGTGGTAGTATAGCCGGGAGGGGTGTTTGCTTCCCACCCAGCCGATCCAGGTTCTATCCCCAGCATCCCCTATGGTCCCCCGCGCCCCACCAGGAGTGATTCCTGAGTGCAGAAGCAAGAGTAACCCCTGAGCATTGCTGGGTATTGCCCCCAAAACAAGACCACCACTGACAACAGAAAAGAATGAGGGAGACAGGCTGAGACAACAAAGAAAGGAGGCTAGAAAGAGAATGGGCAGATGAAGAAGGATGCCATGAAGAGCGGAGGGAGTGACTCTGCAGCTAAGATTTCGGCTTCTGACTTCGTTTCATTGTAAGGGAGTTCCTGGACGACTCTCTTTCACAGGCCAGGCCAAACGCTCCTTTCTGAATGAACCCCATTTTGTATTCTTCTCCTCACTCCCTGCAAAGACACAAGTATGCCTCTGACAGCGCCTAACAATCAAGGCATTGTCTGGCCCTGGTCTCCGTGGGAAGCCGAGGAGGCTGGGTGTGTGGAGAGAAGTCCTCGCCCCCTACACCAGCGTTCTGAGGCCTGGCACGCTGGGCAAACCCAGACCTGGGCCTGAGCGAGGAGCTTAGCACCTTGGCCTCGAACTCTTTGTCCGTGAAATAGGATTTTACTCTCAGTCCAGGCTTCCTCCCTGGGTTGATGTCAAGCGCCAAAAAAGGAGGAACAGTAGACAGGTGTAGGCACTTGCCTTACATGCTGCCGACCCTGGTTCGGTCCCTGGCACTGAGGGAGCCTTTGGTGGTCCCTCAAGTCCAGCCACAAGTGATTCCGTAGCACAGAGCAGGAGGGAACCCTGAATATCGCCAGGTAAGGCTCAAACTCCCATCTCGTCCCCCCAAAGGATTCAAACACATGAACTAATGTGTAAGGAAGCACTTTGCAGGCAGTCAGTCGGATTGCTCTGAGAATGAAGGCTAGCGTGGCCTGCTCCCTGAGTCACTCTCCCAATAGGCCTCATTAGTAGCTGGCATTGCTCTTTACTGAAATAAGCTCCGTTTACCTAACGGAGATAAAATTGTTTCATTTGGTTCTGGCTGGAGGGCTGGAGCTATTGTACAGCGGGTAGGGTGTTTGCCTTGCACATGGCTGACCCCGGTTCGATTCCCAGCATCCCATATGGTCCCCTGAGCACCGCCAGGAGTAATTCCTGAGTGCAGAGCCAGGAGTAACCCCTGTGCATCGCCAGGTGTGACCCAAAAAAGCAAAAAAAAAAAAAGTTTTGTTTGGGGACCATACCTGGTGGTACTCAAGGGCTAATCTTGCCTCTGTGCTTGGGAGTTACTTCTGGCCTACTGATGATGATGATGATGAGATGATGATGATGATGATATTGAATCCCCATGAAAAGCACAGTTACAAAGTGCCCATGATTGACTTTTAGTCAAATGGTGTTCCAACACCAATCCCTTTACCAGTGTACATTTCCCACCACCAGTGTCCCCCGCATCCTTCCCGCCACCCTCCTCCCTCAACACACAGCCTGCCTCCAGGGCAGACACTTTTTTTCATTTTCTCTCTTACTCTCTTTCTCTTTTACCTCTTGGGCATCCTGGTTTGCAATACAGGTACTAAAAAGTTCAACCTGTTTGTCCCTCTACCTACTTTTAGTACTCAGTTCTTATCCAGAAGTTTCACTTCCTGAGTCCAAAGCCTGAATTTTTGGCAGGTTAATGTTGTGGTGAGATTGATCCTGAGGTGATGGGCATCCAGCTGGAGGTGCAGTGGGGGCTTTGGACCGTGGGAGAGGATCTCTCCTGTTTTATTGTAGTTTAAACAAATCTTTCTTACTGATTTACCTTTGGCTTTCCTTTGACATTCAGGGAGCACAGCTTGACACCCATGATTTTGTTTTGTTTTGTTTTGTTTTTTCAGTCGTGCTGTTCTGAAGTTTCAAGGACTGGCTGGCTTAAGCGTTCTTGAGAAAGGTCTAGACGAAGCCATGGCACTTCCTTTTCAAAAAGAGCTGGAGAAATACAAGAACATCGATGAGGATGAGCTGCTTGGCAAACTCTCAGAGGAGGAGCTGAAGCAGCTGGAAAATGTTCTTGATGACCTGGACCCCCAGGTGAGAGGCCTGGCTACAGCGGAGCCATGAGGAAGGGTGGGAGGACCTCAGGGTGCCTCCAAACTAGAGGGCCACCCCTGCGGCTCGAGTCCTGTTCTGCCCCTGGGGGTTCCTGCTCACTGGCTTTTCATGTTCATGGCGTACCTGAGCAGATGCCCCTGTGACAGGAGACGAGCGTGCATTTCTCAAAACTGGCTTCATGTCCATGGGGGAATGTTTTCCCTTAGTTGAACTAATTCAACTTGGATGGAAAAGGAGAGGGGAGGCCAGGGAGATAGAATAGGGGTTAAGGCACTTGCCTTGTGGGAATAGCGGGGATGAGAGGGATACTGGGAACATTGGTGGTGGAGAATGGGCACTGGTGGAGGGATGGGCACTTGATCATTGTATGACTGAAACGTTAACACAAAAGTTTCTAAGTCTATAACTGTGCCTCATGGCGATTCATTAAAAAATAAAAAATTAAGAAAAAGTAAAAGGAACTGCAAAAAAAAAGGCATTTGCCTTGCAGGTGGCCAACCCCGGTTTGATCCCTAGTATTGTATATCGTCCTCTGGTCATCTCCGGGGGTGGCCCCCAAGCCAAATAGAAATAAAGCAAAAATAATGCAAGCACCCTGTTTTTATGTTTAATCAAAAGGAAGGAAGCTCTAAATCCAGCAGCTCTCAACATCTACCGTCACATTCACATCTTCCATTTTCTCAGGAGAGAGCTTAGAAATTTGAGTATCAGAGCCAGAGCAATAAACGGTACAGCAGGTAGCGCACTGGCCTTGCACAGCACTGACCTGGGTTCAATCCCCAGCATCCCTTATGCCCCTGCCTCCACTGCAAGAGTAGATTCCTGCACTCAGAGCCAGGAGTAAGCCTTGAGCATCACCGGATGTAGCCCCAAAACAGAAATTAGAATATCGCTGTATCCCCTCCTGGAGCACATCTCAGCAGGCCTGCCTGGGGGTGATGGGGTGCAGATCTGGAAGCCCCAAGTGTGATGTGCATGGGTGCGACCTGGGGGCTGGGCCTGGGGGCTGCTGAGGAAGGTCGGCTGTTTCTGACTATTCTGTCCGCTCTTCTGGGCAGCCCCCCTCTCACCCCCATCTCTGCCCAGGGACAGTGGGGATGGGGGCCAGGGACATGGTGCCGTGGTCAGCCCCCTACTTCCTGCTTCCTTCATCCACTTCCTTCCTACTCTCTCTCTTTCGCTCTCTCTGTTTTGCTCGTTCACTCTCATGCTGTCTCTCTTTCTTTCGCTCACTCTCGCCGGCACGTCTCTCTCCTCAGAGCGCTCTGCTGCCCGCTGGATTCCGGCAGAAAGACCAGACCCAGAAAAGCGCCACAGGCCCGTTTGACCGCGAGCACCTGCTCATGTACCTGGAGAAGGAGGCTCTGGAACAGAAGGACAGGGAGGACTTTGTGCCCTTCACCGGAGAGAAGAAAGGTGAGGACCGGGGGTGGGGTGACCAACACATGCCCTGCCACAGGGAGCCGGACAAGGCAGCTGGCGGGTGGGAGTGGAGCCCAGAGAGAGGCAGGACTGGAGGAGCGTGTTTTCCGAGGATGCTCCCGGCCCAGGGCACACCTGACGCTAGCAGCCACCCGGGGACCTCGGGAGTCTGGGCTGGGACAGTGCTGACCGAGAAGGGGCTGCGATTGTGGGGACAGACAGTCCATACTGCTGTCTCAAAGCCCAGAATTGCTCCTAAATAACTAATGTGTATTGCCGTGAGCATGGTGGAATAGGCCAGCAAAACAAACACGTGAACATGTGATGATAACTTTTTATTCCCTTTTTGTTTGTTTGTTTGTTTGTTTGGGGGCCACATCCAGTGATTCTCAGGGCTTCTTCCTGGCTCTGTGCTTGGGGGACCATCCGCCGTGTGCCCCTGGGGAGGAAATCATGAAATCAGAGTTGACCAAGTAGACAGCCAGCACCTTTCCCACTGCGCTATCTCCCCCGTCCTGCAGTCTTTTGTGTCTCTTGTTGTTGTCTGTGGTGTTTGTTTGGCTGGTTTGGGGCCCCACTTAGAGGTGCCTTGGGCTTCTTCCTGGCTCTGAGCTCAGGGATCACTCCTGGCTGTGCTGAGACCCATGTGTTGCCTCAGAGCCTTGACAGGAGTGATCCCTGAGCACAAAGCCAGGAGTTAAGTCCTGGGCACAACTGGGCATGTCCCCAAAATAAAAAGGAAGAAGGAAAGGAAGGAAGCTCAACCTATAAGAGACAAATAATTTGCATAAGAAATCAGAGGGGGAGGGAGCCGGAGCAATAGTACAGCAAGTAGGCGTTTGCCTTGCATGCGGTCAACCGAGTTCTATCCCCAGCATCCCATGTGGTGCCCCCAGCACCTCTAGGAGTAGAGTGCAGAGCCAGGAGTAATCACTGAGCATTGCTGGACATTGTCTCTGTCACTGTCCTCCCGTTGTTCATCGATTTGCTCGAGCGGGCCCAGTAACGTCTCCATTATGAGACTTTGTTGTTACTGTGCTTGGCATATCGAATATGTCACAGGGAGCTTGCCAGGCTTTGCCGTGCGGGTGAGATACTCTCGGTAGCTTGCTGGGCTCTCCGAGAGGGGTGGAGGAATCAATCTCAGGTTGGTCATCTTGGCCGCTTGTAAGGCAAAACGCCCTACTACTGTGCTATCACTCCAGCCCCATCACTGGGTATGTATGTATGACCCAAAAAGGAAAAAAAAAATAAGAAGAAAAAAAGAAATCAGGGGCAGGAGCAATAACACAACAGTTAGGGAGCTTGCCTTGTACATGACCAACCCGGGTTTGATCCCTGACGTCCCATATGGTCCCCCACACCCCACCAGAGTGATCACTGAGCACAGAGCTCTGAAAGGAAGAGTCGAGAGCCAGAGAAATATTGCAGGGAATAAGGCATTAGCCTTGCACTCAGCTGACCCCAGTTTGATCCCCATTACCACATATGGTCCCCTAAGCACTGCCAGGAGGAGGAATCTCTGAGCACAGAGCCAGGAGTAACCCTTGAGGACTCCTGGGTGAGGACCCCTGACCCTTAAAGAAAGGATGTTAAATAGAAGGGAAAGTTGGGTAACACAACTGGACCAGTACTCTAACATTGCAGTAGCATCACAGTTACTCCTGGACTAGTTCAGAGGTGAAAGGAAAAGTCAGTGGTCACTTCTAGTCCCCACTAGTGGCTCGCACTGTGGCCATGAGGGACAGGGCAAGCTGTCCTGTTCGCGTCTCAGAAGTCCGAGGAGTCGCCGTGTGGCTGGTTCTCTCTTGATCCACATCAAGGCGCAGACGGTTCCTGGAGGAGGCAGGAGTATGGGCACTGTGGGGGGGTCGTCTAGGGCTACGTAGTGCAGCCTGCTGGGAGAAGGTGGAGAAGCAATGGAGATGAGCAAAATGGGCAGGAACCTGCAGGCTCTGTGGACAGCATCCCCAGGGTGCAGGGCCCACAGGGGACTTAGCAGGCAGTTGGTGGTCGGTGTTCAGGGTGGGACTCTCTCTTTACTGGTTGGTGAGAGCAGAGGCAGTTGGAGGTGGAGAAGAGTCGGGCCCCGCCCCACTGGGACCCTCTTACCTACCCAAGGGCAGCATAGGGCAAGGGGTCTCTCTTTTCTCTTTAAGACACAGTCTTCTCAGCTCTGTGCCCCAGAATGGTGGGTTCCTCCTGCCGTCCTTTCTCTGGCAGAGGGTAATTGATACCGACTTCATCCCAGCAGTTGGGAATCACAGTTGGGGCCAAGAAGGAGAGTACAATGGTTAGGGTTAAGGCACCATATATGGTGCTCTGAGCACTGCCAGGGGTCATTCCAGATCACAGAGCCAGGAACAGTCTCTGAGTATTCCCAAATTTTAATTAATTTTAGTTTTAATGTTAAAGTTTTAAGGAATCACATTTGAAATATATATATACATACACATATATATATATACATACACACACACATGTATATGTATATATTTAAAGAATCCCAGTTGACAGCACAGTGGCTCAGCGCTAGATGGGCCTGCTCATCTCGGGATTACCCTCTCTGGTCAGTCTTCTTAGCCTCAGGAACTCATCAGTACAACATGTTTTCTTCTCTGATTTCAAGGGAGAGTCTTTATCCCCAAGGAAAAGCCTGTAGAGAAAAAGCCTGTAGAAGAAAAAGTGACCCTTGACCCGGAACTGGAAGAAGCCCTGGCCAGCGCCTCTGACACAGAGCTCTATGACCTAGCAGGTGAGTCTGGGCTCCAGGAAGCGGGAAGCATCGCAGTGTGGTGTCAGGATGTCAAGGCAAGGACAGGCACGAAGCAGCATCTCTCTGCTAACTCCCTGTTACTTTATCACTTGGAGCAAACCTTATTTTGCTGTCTCAGCTATAAAATGCAGTGCTGACTCCCATTCCGGGTGGTTCTCAGAGTTGAGATAGGGTGAGAGGGGGAGGTGCAGATGCGACCTTGGGTAGAGGGTCCTGACTCTCTGCTGGTGCCGCAGCACTGCACACCTACAGTAATCATAATGGGACTGATGGAAATGCATATATATTTTTAATTAAATCAATAATTACTGGTTTTGGCATATCCAATACGCCACGGATAGCTTGCCAGGCTCTGCTGTGCGGGCGGGATATTCTTGGTAGCTTGCCATGCTCTATGAGAAGGATAGAGGCTTTTAGGGCGGCCTCTAATCGCCCTTGTAGGTGTTCCCATGATTCAAACCATATTTGAACCCTATCAAATATGGTGCGGCAATTCTGGAAGATGGGTATTAAGTGTCTTATGATGTGTCACACAACCGCTGTGGGGCTTTACTCGTGCGTGAGTCTTGGCCCAAGCGTCCGGAAAGCGTCCTGGAGCATGGCGGTGGCTGGGTAGTGGAGGTAGTGGAGGTCTGCTGGTGAGGTATTTATCTGGTACCAGTAGGGTGGGTCTTCTGTGTGTAATACCTGGGTCACTGGTGGTTGGTGGAAGCAGACAGGGCAGGGTAGGGTGGGGCTCCTGTTTTTAATCCCTTTGTCACCTGTGGTTGGTGGGAACAGGCAGAGGATCTGTGTTCTCAGGTCTGTTGAACCTGGAGTCCAAGGTCTCAGAGTTCTGCTTACCTGGTTCTGTGGGGCTTCACTCATGTGTGAGTCTCGGCCCGAGCATCCGGAAAGCATCCTGGAGTGTGGCGGCGGCTGGATAGTGGAGGTAGTGGAGGTCAAAATAGGCATCGAAAATCAGATGGGCTGGACATGTAATGAGATTTGGAGACGACTGCTGGACTAGAGCCATTACTGACTGGATTCCACGGGACATCAAAAGATCACATGGCCGCCCACCTACAAGATGGTCAGACTTCTTCATCAAGACTCTGAACAATCAGTTTGAGGCTCTTCATGTTCCTAGAATGAGCAGACGCCATTGGGCTACACTAGCACACGACAGGGACGAATGGAGACATTACTGGCGCCCTCTCAAGCAAATCGATGAGTAACGGGATGTCAAGTGATCAAGTGATCAATACTTTATTATTTTTTTTCTTTTTGGGTCACACCCGGCAATGCACAGGGCTTACTCCTGGCTCTGCACTCAGGAGTTACTCCTGGTGGTGCTCAGGGGACCATATGGGATACTGGGAATCGAACCTGGGTTGGCCACGTGCAAGGCAAATGCCCTACCCACTGTGCTATCTCTCCAGCCCCAAGTGATCAATACTTTAAAAGGACAGTGGTGAGGGGCTAGAATGATACCATAGCAGGTAGAGCATTTGCCTTGCATGTGGCTGACCCAGGTTCGATCCCTGGCATCCCATGTGGTCCCCCAAGCACTTCCAGGAGTGATTCCTCAGCACAGAACCAGGAGTAATCCCTGACCACTGCAGCTGTGGCCCCCAAACAAAATAATGAAAGGAAAGCAGTGGATACTCTTAGACACTTTGACTGGTGGTGAAGGTGGAGTAACTTTGTGCATCAGAACTAACATTCTTGTAAGCAGGCTACCTAAACTACAAGGAAAATTGTTAAATAAAATGAAACACACAGGCCGGAGCCATAGTACAGCAGGTAGGGCATTTGGGATGCCAGGGATGTTCGATCCCCGGCATCCCATATGGTCCCCCAGGCACCGCCAGGAGTAATTCCTGAGTGCAAACCCCTGAGCATCGCTGGATGTGATGCAAAAAAGCCAAAAAACAAAAACAAACAAACATAACAACACTAACAACCTGTCCTAAAACATTGAAGCTATGTAAGAATCAGATAAAATTAATATGAAGGGATGTTGAGAACCTAAGCACTGAAATTATCGCCCTTCTTCTTCCCAAGGAGTTCTCACATTGATATTTTCTCACATTGATATTTGACTGTAATTTATCATCACAGAATGGCCATGGGGCAATTTCCTCACGGCAGTAGCTGCCCCATTTTGAGTCCCACTAAGAACTCTGTTAGCCCGACAGTGGAGCCGCTGGGATGTTCGGCCCAGTCTGCTCTTTTTTTTTTTTTTCCCTTTTTTGGGTCACATCCAGCAATGCTCAGGGGTTACTCCAGGCTCTGCATTCAGGAATTTACTCCTGGCGGTGCTTGGGGGACCATATGGGATGCCAGGGATCGAAAGCAGGTCTGCCATGTGCAAGGCAAATACCCTCCCCGCTGTAATATCGCTCCTGCCCCAGTCTGCTCTTTTTTTTCTTAATGATACTGATAAAATAGTAATTATTGGGATTGGTTATACATGCAAATGGGAAAAAGCCAAATAGTATGTACAAGAAGGAGCAATGAGCTATGCCTTTCCCCCTAATCATCAGTTAAACTCCCTCCTGTTTCTTGTATGTTCTTCAAGAAAGATTCCTTGACTATTCCAGCACACTTCATGGCATGCTTCATTATTCCAAATAGGATGGAAATTTGGATTAGTAGATTCGTAGGCTAGAGGTACTTTTAAAAGTTGGTCAGTGAACTTCTGCAAGAATATTCACATTTGGGGCTGGAACAATAGATAGCACAGTGCGTAGGGCGTTTGCCTTGCATGCGGCCGACCCAGGTTCGATCCTTTCCTCCCATACAGTCCCCCGGGCACCACCAGGAATGATCTCTGAGCACAGAGCCAGGAGTAAGCTCTGAGCACTGCCAGGTGTGGGCTAAAAACCATATTTTAAAGAGTATTCACATTTCAGTCATAATAATCAACCCTGCTATAGTCTGAGGTACCCTGCTAGAGCAGGTTACCCCGCTAAGGTAACTTTTACTCAGCGAAGGCATCAGTTTCACACATGCAAACTCTGATCTCAGTGGGGCCTGAGCGATAGTACAGCGGGTAGAACATTTGCCTTATACACGGCCGACCTAGGTTCAATCCCCAGCATCCCACATGGTTCCTGAGCACCGCCAGGAATACTTCCTGAGTGCAGAACCAGGAGTAACCCCTGACAGATGTAATCCCAAAAGCCCCGGCACACCTGTCTGTGCTCAGTGCTTACTCCTGGCTCTGCACTCAGGAGTCATTCTTGGTGGAGCTCAAGGGACCATATGTGGTACTGGGCTCTTTCGGGTACAAGGCAAGCGCCCTCCCCACTGTCCCATCTCTCCAGCCCAGAACAGCTCTGCCGTGGATGGCCGCTCTGGTTGGCCCTGTCGTTGCTATGGCGGGGTCCTGTTTTGGTTACTGCCTCTCTCAGGAGTTGCCTCACAAGGTCTCTTAATGGAATTGCCCATGGGGAGCATTGCAGGGCTGGGCTTGAATTCCCAGGAAATGCCAAAGAAAGGAGAAAAACACCCGTCATTCCAAAGACACTAGGTTCAGAACTTCACACAGTCAAGCCAGAGGGTAATCCCGTTAGGAAACTGGCTGGCTCATTTTCGCTTTCCCCTCCTCCCGGCCCCCAAACCAAACCAGGAGTCCCCTCAGAGTCCAGCAGTTCTGAATGGCCAGCCTTCAAGGGACAGCGTGTTCTCCAGGCTTGATCTTCCTGGAAAATCCTGCGCAGCCCGGCATGTGGATGGGTTTAGATAAGGAAGGGTCCCCCTGCACGCACTGCTGCGTCCACTCAAGGCCAGAGAGAGTCGGCCACGCACATGACCTTCTCACAGCACGGCCACTGCTCAGATTAGAGGGCTGGATATCTGACCTTATCGGGGCACATGGGCGTGCTCAGATTGGGGCCAGGCAGCAGTGACGGATCCACTGGCCTGATCTGCAGAGAACAGATTCGATGAAAGTTACAGCTTGGCAGGCGCAGTTTTGATTAGTGTGTCTGAGGCTGAACCAGAGAGGTGTGAGCAGCCCAGCAGCCGTGTTTGTAGAGCAGCTCAGCTGGGCTGCAAGCACTCCACAAAGGTTTATTTACCATGAGTCTGGACAGGGGACTGGACCCAGCCCGGGCTTTGCATGTAGGAGACCTGGATTTCGACCCTAGTAGTCCATGGTCTCCTGAGCACTATCCGAGCACCATGCCAGGAGTAACCCCTGCATACTGCTGGCTATGGTCTCCAAGCAGGATTTTAAAAAAATTTTTTTTTTTAATTTTTGCGTTTTGGGCCACACCCAGCAATGTTCAGGGTTAGTCCTGGTTCTGTGCTCAGGAATTACTACTGGCATCTGGGGGACCACATACACATATAGTGCTAGGGTTTGAACCTGGGTCAGCCACATGCAAGTTAAGCTCCCTCCCTGCTGTACTATCTCAAAACAAAGACTTTATTTATTTTATTTTTTTGTGAAGTGCTTAAAGCAGTGGCTGGCACAGAGAGTGATTTAAGCTTTGTAACTGGGGCTGGAGCTATGGCACACTGGGTAGGGTGTTTGTCTTGCATACGGCCCACCCCGGTTCAATTCCCAGCATCCCATATGGACCCCCCTGAGGAGTGATTCCTGAGTGCAGAGCCAGGAGTAACCCCTGTTACTCCTGCATTGCCACACGTGACCCAAAAAGCCAAAAAGCCAAAAAAAAAAAAAAAAAAACCTCTGTAACTGAGAATTTATTGGTGTTTTTGGTGGTTTTTTTGGAGGGGAGTTGATTTGGGGGCCACAGTTGGCAGTGCACAGGGATCACTCCTGGCTCTGTGCTCCAGAATTGCACCTAGTGGGGATCTCACAGAGTCCTGAGAATCCAACTGGGGTTGGCCTCATGCAAGGCCTTACCCACTGTCCTGTCTCTCCAGCACCATAACAGGAAAATCATTATCCCTCTCTTATCGATGAGAAGACTGGCCCAGAGGGGGTCAGCAGCTGCCCCTGCCCACGGGCATCCTTGGTGAGTCCAGATCCCCCCTGCAGCTGGTCCTCCTCGGTGCCTCTCAGCACAGACCTGCGTCTCTAAGCATCTGCCTCCCCTGCTGCACCAGCCAGCCTGCCCCCTGCGAACAGTTTGTTCCAGGGCAGCTCCTCTGCCACCTGCTGACAGAGTATCTAGTCTAAGATCCTTGTCCAGGTGACCAGGCTCACCTGTAATTTCATCAGTAAAACGGAAGCCAGTTGCGGCTGCTGTTTCTGCCTGACGCTCCTTGTCCCAGTGCTGCCCCCTGGTGCTAGTTCCAGCTCCTGCAGGAGACTGGGAATCTGCTTCTCTCATCTTCTGGGGCAGATACTGCTTCTGTCCCCACCAGCCCGCAATCCCCCTCTCCCTCCCCCCCCTACCCCCCCCCCCCCCGCTTGCCCTTTTGGATTAGAGAAGATGGTTGGCTGCCTGTGTTGAAAGAGGCCCAAGATCTTTCTGCCTTGTGCCTCTGGGAAAACCCCAGTCGTGATTTAGATTCAGAATATCCTTAGACCTAGTCCCACGCTTCCATGTCACAGATGAGAGCAATAAAGAGCTAATTCTGAGCACTTGTACAACAGGCAGGGCGTTTGCCTTGCATGCAGCCAACCCGGTTTGGATCCCAGCATCCCATATGATCCCCAGAACCCACTAGGAGTGATTCCTGGGGACAGAGCAAGTCCTGAGCACCACTGGGTGAGGCCCAGAAAATGAAACAAAACAAATTCTTCTGGGGGCAGAGTGATAGTACGGCAATAAAGCGTTTACCTTGCATACAGCTTGCCCAGGTTCGATCCCCAACACCCCAGATGGTTCCCTGAACCCCACCAGGAGTAAGTCCTCAGCACTGCTGGGTGTGGCCCAAGAACTAACAGAAAGAGCTAAATCTTCTTAACCAGGAGGTCTAAGTATGTTTTGCAATCATTTGGGGGATGGGGGGGGGGGGGACTAGGGCTCTAAATGCTAAATACTTTTGTGTGTGTAGATGTAGAAAGACATTGGTCTTAGAAGAAGGTTTTAAATAAATGTGTATAGGGTCTGGAGAGATAGAACAGGAGGTGGGCATTTGCTTTACACACAGCCAACCCAGGGTTCAATCCCCAGTATCCCATATAACCACCCCCCGCCCAGCACTGCCAGAAGTAATTCCTGAACTTAGTGCCAGGAGTAACCCCTGAGCATCTCCGGGTATGGACCGAAAAATGGCAAGTAAGTCAATAAATATGTGTATATGCTTATTTAGCATGTGTATGCATCTCCGTAATACTCAAGGGAAGAGCGGGAGGGGCAGGAGTGTGTGTCTGGAGACGAGTCTCAGTGATACAAAGAATTATTCTTTGAGAGATAAAAACCCTGTGTAACAAGCCAAACCATTATTGCAACCTGATGTTGACTCACTGCTTATCTTGGTTTCTAGCTGTTCTCGGAGTCCACAATCTGCTCAACAATCCAAAGTTTAATGAAGAAACTCCTGGCACTGATGGAGGCAAAGGGCCTATAAGAAGTAAGTTGACGTGGTTGTGGCAGGAAATTGTTAATAAAAGAGATCACATGGTCAGCACAATGCAAACCGAGTTTGATGTTCCTAGCAGCAGGTTATTAAAACTCTAGCATTTAAGCTTCTGGATTTCTATGCACGTATTAGGGATACATCTGCACATGTATCAGTAACATTTTCCCCCAGGATTTTATTGTTTGGGGCATGTTTGCAGCACATTTGAGAGGAGAGCAGAACTCCTGCATTCACTACTCCTCATTCAGCCTCCGGAGGGCACAGAGGCTGCAGTTTGGTGAACCCATCATTGTCCCCTGAGTCTGGAGTTGGCAGTAGGGTTCCTTCAGGGGTTCTATGTTCAGTGGGTTGGGACCAGGGGCCAGTGGCATGTTGGCTCCATGGCGGTATCATACGGAGAGCTTTCACAGGCCTGAAAATCCTCTGCTCTGCCTGTGTATCCCCTCGAACCTGGGCAATCCTTGATTCCTTCATCCTCCATACATCTCCTTTTCCAGAACTTTCTGCAGCTGAAACCATGCGGACAGCGTCAGCCTCTCTTCTTTGACTTAGTAAAACCCACATGAGCCCCCTCTAAGGGTTTTTCTGGTTGATTGGTTTCGGTTTGGGGGGCTCACCAGGTAGTGCCTGAGCGTACTCTTGGCTCTGTGCTCAGGGATCACTCCAGGCAGGGCTTGAGGGACCATATGGGGTGGGTGCCGGGGATTGAATTCGGGTCTGCCATATGCAAGGCAAGTGCTGTACCCAGAGTACTCTTGCTCCAGCCCCCCCCCCCCCGCCACCCTGTCCAGATCTTTTCCTGGTATTGCAGAGCATTTCCTTTGTCTCCCCCCCTACACACACACACACACACACACACACACACACACTTTCCTCTCTCTTCTGCTGCAGCTGTTATGACCACCAGGGCTCACAGTCATGCTCAATCGCTGGTCATAAGGGACTGGAGAGATGGTACAGGGGTGAAGGTGCTTACTTTGCTCGCCCAAACCCAGTTCCGGTCCAGGAGCCACACTGCCCTCCAGAGAGACAGAGAGAGAGAGAGCGAGCGAGAGAGAGAGAGAGAGAGAGAGAGAGAGATGGAGGGAGAGAGAGAGGAGAGAGAAAGAGGGAGGGAGGGAGAGAGAGGCGGGGTGGAGGAACTTCGGGGGGGGGTAGAGGCAAACTGGGGACATTGGTACTGGGAAATAACACTGGTGGAGGGATGGGTGTAAAAAAAAAAAAATTTTTTTTTTTAAGAAGAAACCAAACAAGGGGCTGGAGCGATAGCACAGCGGGTAGGGCGTTTGCCTTGCATGCAGCCAACATGGCTGACCCAGGTTCGATTCCCTGCATCCCATATGGTCCCCCAAGCACTGCCAGGAGTAATTCCTGAGTGCATGAGCCAGGAGTAATCCCTGAGCATCGCCGAGTGTGACCCAAAAATCAAGAAAAAAAAAAAAAGAAGAAGAAGAAGAAACCAAACAAAAGAAGAAAAGAAAATTGAGTAGTTTATTTTTTTGAGTAGTTGATACGTGTGCCTGGGAACATGCCACCCGCGTCTTCCCTCTTGAGAGGCGTGCTTTCATGTTTCATACTCTAACGCTGGGATGTGTACTGGTTCTCTCCACTCTGGAGAAGCCCGTGTCCTCTCTTGAGCACGTATCTTAAATGACCTCCTCTTCTCTTCCTTTATTTCCCAGTAAACTTGTTATGGGCTGGAGCGATAGCACAGCGGTAGGGCGTCTGCCTTGCACGCAGCCAACATGGCCGACCCGAGTTCGATTCCTCCACCCCTCTCGGAGAGCCCAGCAAGCTGCCGAGAGTATTCGATATGCCAGACACAGTAACAACAAAGTCTCCAATGGAGACGTTACTGGGCCCGCTCGAGCAAATCGATGATCAACGGGAGGGCCTTTACTTTACTTTACTTTTACTTTAAACTTGTTATACGCCAGTAAATAAATAAATAAATAAATGTCTGTATGTGGGGGGGGGGGTGAAGGTTTTTTTTTATTATTATTATGTTTGCTTTCTTTTGTTGATCTTTGCTCATGAACTCATGTTTTAGATGTGGTCAAAGGTGAGAAAGTGAAGCCGGTGTTTGAGGAGCCGCCTAACCCCACCAATGTGGAGGCCAGCCTGCAGCAGGTGAAGGCCAACGACCCCAGCCTGAAGGAAGTGAACCTCAACAACATTAAGGTAGTTCACCGGGACTGTTGTCACTTCTCGTGGGGTCCAAAGAACTCAGTGGAGAGGACGGACCCTTTGCTTTCACCTCTGTGTGCAACCCAGCGATGGTGCCAGGGGAAGGAGCCTTTGAGGCTGATTTAGGGTCAGGATATCGTATTCAAAAGAACTGGGTGTACGCCCACCACCACCACCATGTAAGCTCACTGTTCAGTCCCATATTGAGGAATTTCTGGAGCACACTACCACATTTGCGGCCACACAGCACCTCCAAACTCTAGAATACCGACATCTCAGTAGGAGCACACCTAATTAGATGGGAAAGTAATATAGAAGCCAACAAAGCTCAATACCCACAAATATTAACACAGAAGGTTCAACAAGCAACAGCAGCAGTTTAGTAAACCCTCAGTCAAGGACTTAATGTCCCCAGGGTGAGATAGAACAATTGTCACAAATATTCTTTTAGTGAAGTACTTTTCGATAATTGCCTTAGTCATTTGGTTGTTAACAAACAGTATATAATAAACCGTTTTGTGCCTGCCTGCTGAGGATGCAGGCTTATGGGGGACATTGGTGGAGGGAAGGTCACACTGGTAGTGGGATTGGTGTGGGAACATTGAATGCCTGTGACAAATGCATCAGGAACAACTTCGTAAACCATGGTGCTTAAATCAAGGAGGAAATAAATGTTAATACTTTTTAAAGTGTGTTTTAAAATGGTGGTGTCAGAAAGGAGAGAGAGAACAAAAGGGAATGCCCTGCCAGAAAGGCAGGGTGGGACGGGGGGTGGGGGGTGGAGGGAAGGGGTAGGGGGGATGCGGGGGAGGGATACTGGGATCAGTGGTGGTGGAAATTGGGCACTGGTGGAGGGAGGGATACTTGATCATTGTATAATTGAAACCCAAGCACAAAAATTTGTAAGTCTACAACTGTACCTCAAGGTGTTTCACTAATAAAAATTAAATAAATAAATAAATTAAATGGTGGTGTCAGACTGGAGAGAGAGAATAGAGGGTAAGGCGCTCACTTGTGCACAGCCAAACTGGGTTAGATCCCTGGCATCCCTTATGGTCCCCAAGTCTGCCAGTGATCCCCGAGTGCAGAGCCAGGAGTAAGCCCACATCATTGGATGTGGCCCCAAAATAAATGAGTGAATGGGTGATTTCTATAATTCTTTTAAAAGGGATTACTGTTCTGTGTGAGCAACACATTACTTATCACACAGTAACAATCAATTCTGAACTTTGGGGCTGAACACAATAAACATGCAAGTTTTCACACCGTTTCTGAGAATCAGGGACCTGAGGGGTGACTTAGCAGGTCAGTCATGGCCCAGGGTGTCGCATGAGGCTGTAGTGGAACCGTCATCCACGACTCTGGTCACCTGGAACTCAACTGGGATGGGAAGCTCCACCTCCAAGGTATCACACTCATTGGCTTTGAGCTAACAGCCTCAGTTTCTCTCCATAGGGCTGTCCCAGTGCCCTCACATGTGACAGCTGGTGTCCCTGTGAGTGAGTGATCAAAAGGAGTGTGCACAAAAAGCCACTATAGTACCTTTTATGACTTGCTTGAAGTCACAGTTTGTTGCTGCCTCTACTTTTAATTAATTGGTTTTGTTGAGGCTGCAGTGATAGCACAGCGGGTAGGGTGTTTGCCTTGTATGCAGCCGGCCCAGGTTCGATTCCTCTATCCCTCTCGGAGAGCCTGGCAAGCTACCGAGAGTATCCCACCCACACGGCAGAGCCTGGCAAGCTCCCCATGGCATATTTGATATGCCAAAACAGTAGCAAGTCTCACAATGGAGATGTTACTGGTGCCCGCTCGAGCAAATTGATGAACAACGGGAAGATAGTGCTACAATGGTTTTGTTGGGTGTTTTGGTTTTTTTGTTTTTTTTTTTTTTGATGGGGGTGGTGGTGGTTGTTGATTTTTGGTTTGGGAGCCACATCCAGCGGTACTGAGGGCCTACTCCTGCCTGTAGGCTCAGAGGTCACTCCTGGCAGGCTCAGGAGACCATATATAATGGTGAGGCTCAAACTCAGGTTGGCTGCATGCAAGGCAAATGTTTCAGGTACTGTACTGTCTTTCCAAGCCTCTCACTGCCTTTAAAATCTATTTCACAGTAAGCCATGTAGCTTTCAGAGGAATAGAAGTGTGTGTGTGTGTGTGTGTGTGTGTGTGTGTGTGTGTGTTTGTCTTTATGTGTGTAAGAGGTGGGAGGAGGAGAAGGAGGAGAGAGGAAAAGAGGAAAGTAATATTGACATTTTACTTGTTCATTTTTCTAGGGTGAGTTCTAGGGTGAATTTCTAATAACTTTTATCCAGTAGTCATGTGCCCTGTCCTTTCGCAGTCTGTGATCACAGCTAACCTGTGACACTGCCAGGACTCACATCAACCTCAGCAGTGCTTATAGCCTGTTTCTTGCCTGAGTGCACCCCAGCCCCCCACGCTCCTCTGCTGAGTGCTGCAGCAAAGGGCGTAATGAGACTTGTTGGATATTTTATTCTGAAGAACTGATATGAGCATAAAATTACAAAACAAATCTTTATAGTGTGATACTAGAAAGTCCCCAAATGTTGCAGAACTGTAGTAAAAGAAAATTTCACCCTCCCTAGGAAGCCGTTGAAAAAAAAGAGGTGATATTATAGCCGGGCTTTTAAGATGAGTAGAAATTCATCAGAGAGGAACCAGAGCAAAAGTCCAGTGGGTATCGTGCTTGCCTTGCATGCAACTGACCCGGGTTTCGATCCCTGGCATCCCATTTGGCCACCTCCCTGAGCACCGCCAGGAGTGATTCCTGAGTGCAGAGCCAGGAGTAACCCCTGAACATTGCTGGGTGTGACCCAGAAAGCCAAAAATAAGTAAGAAAAAAGAATTTCATCAGAAAAAAGCACTGTCCTCCCGTTGTTCATCCATTTGCTCAAGCGGGTACCAGTAACGTCTCCATTGTGAGACTTGTTACTGTTTTTGGCATATCAAATACGGCACATGGAGCTTGCCAGGCTCTGCCGTGCAGGCGGGACACTCTCAGTAGCATGCAGGGCTCTCCGAGAGGGATGAAGAAATCGAACCCAGGTCGGCCACTTGCAAGAAAAAAAGAACAAAGGAATTTCCAGGCACAGGGAAAATGACATGTGAGGTATGGAGGAGAGAGAGAACTCAGCAGGCTGGTCAGTCTGGCTAGAATATGGAGAAAGAAACCCAAATGCGACTGTGTGACGTGTGCCCCATTTCCTGGTAGGGCGGACAGACAGGTTTTGTCTGTCACGTGTTGGCACCCTTGTGGAACACTAGGTGGCGCTGTTGGTTGAAGTCCTCTGGCTTCCTAGAGGCTCGGTGTTGATTGGCTTTTAGAGGGTTATCAATTAACCATCTAAGCACTTAAGAGTATGAAAAGCTGTGAACCTTGGCTTAGGGTGAGGGCTTGCCTAATGCTCATCAACTCTCTTCTGTCTTTTCCATCTTAGAACATTCCAATTCCAACACTGAGAGAATTTGCAAAGGCACTGGAGACCAATACTCATGTGAAGAAGTTCAGCCTGGCCGCAACCCGCAGTAACGACCCAGTGGCAATTGTGAGTAAAATTCTTAGAACTCTGACCTGACAGCGCCAGGGAGATGACTCAAACGACTGGGCACAGGCTTTGCCCGCAGGAGACCTACAGGATTTGTTTGTTTGGTGTTTTGGTTTTTTTTGTTTTTGTTTTTGTTTTTGTTTTTTGGGTCACACCTGGCGATGCACTGGGGTTACTCCTGGCTCTGCACTCAGGAATTAATCCTGGCGGTGCCCAGGGGGACCATATGGGATGCTGGGAATCGAACCCAGATTGGTCGCATGCAAGGCAAACGCCCTACCCTCTGTGCTATCACTTCAGCCCTTGTTTGGTGTTTTATTTTGGGGTATTGGCGAGAGGGAGAATTTTGGAAGGTTTGTTGGTTTTCTGGGTATTTTGGGGGTTTTGGTTAACACCCAGTGATGTTCAAGGATAACTTGCCCTGCTCTCAGGAATCATTCCTGGTGGTGCTCAGGAGACCACATGGGATACCAGGGATTGAACCCAGGTCTGCCACGTGCAAAGCAAGCGCCCTATTTACTATACTATTTCTCCATTCCCCCTATTAAATCCCAGCCGCACAGGGTCTGCTGAGCACTGCCAAAATAGTCCCTGAGCACCATCTGATGTGGCCCCAAAAGCAAAAGACGGAGAGGGAAAAAGGAAAGAAATATAATTAGAATTTTTCTTCTTCTTTGTTCGTGGGGAGAGGTGGTGGTGGAAATAACCAGTGGTGCTCAGGGCTTATCCTGACTCTGCGCTTAGGAATCACCCCTGATGAGGTTCAGGGGTTCGAATGGGATGCCAGGGATTGAATTCAGGTCAGACACGTGCATGGCAAGTGCTTTACCTGCTGTGCTCTCTCCGTTCCCTGTTGGAAGTTTACCGAAGCCTGGAATACGTCCCTCTTATTTTATCTTGCCCTCTTCCTGCCTATGAAGCATTTCATTTTGTCCAGTTTGGGGGGGGAAGAGGAAGATATTTGGGGCCACCTTGGCAGTACTTAGGGGCTTCTCCCAGCACCAGTGCTCAGAGATCTCTTCTGACAGTGCTCAGGGGACCTCGCAGTGCCAGGGATGGAATCCTGGCCTCCCGCCTGCACACCGGCTCTTTAAGCCATCTCCCCAACCCTATTTTGTATATGTTGTTTGTATTTTACTGGGGGAGAAGGGAACTCTATTCTACTAGATTGCCTGATTCATGAATTATATAACAGAGCCAAAATTATTATATCTTCAAGATCAACACAAATGGGATTTTTATTTTAACACCAAAATCTGAAGAAAAAAATTGTTAAAAGCCAACCGAAGGGGCTGGAGCGATAGCACAGGGGGTAGGGCGTTTGCCTTGCATTCAGCCAACCCAGGTTTGATTCCCAGCATTCCATATGGTCCCCCTGAACACCGCCAGGAGTAAGCCCCGTGCATCATCAGGTGTGACCCAAAAAGCAAAATAAATAAATAACTAAAAATAAAAGGCAACCAAAGGCCCTGTTCCTTCTCTGTGTTTAAGGAAGTCCCTGGATCCACGTGACTGTGACCATGACTGTCACGGGTGTTATTTCTCCTATTAATAGCTCACATTTCTGGAATAATTCTAAGTGCCATCACCGATTTCTGTGCTCTGTCGTGTCATCTCACCTAATCCTCAAATGCTATGAAGTATGTCACTATTCTTCATTCCCACTGGAAGAAGTGAGCAGTCTGAGACCTGCAGAGCTTGAGTCACCTCGTCAGGGTAGCACAGGCAGAGAGTAGCAAAGCTGGGATTTCCCACCTGGTCTTTCTGGTTCCTGAGTCTGGATGCTTAACCATCAAGTTGTGCAATGTTTGCCCGACATTGCTGTCATCATTTGCTCAAGTGCACCAGTTGCCAAGACACTGAGCACCAGTCTGTGATTCCTAGGCCCCCAACACTCAGCCATTGACTTGCTCACCCCTTGACTAGCAATGTGATTTAGTGTAAAAAAGCTTTTGGAAAATCTAAAATATCAATAAACACAACATGAATGTATTTATTGATTACGTCTCGTCGCCCTGGCACCAAATAGATATTTTAGAAACACTTGGAGGTTCTTGCTTTGGCAGCATATATACTAAAATTGGAACAATACAGAGAAAATTAGCATGGCCCTGCGCAAGGATGACATGCAAATTTGTGAAGCGTTCCATATTTTTAGACATGGAGAGTGTCATGCTAAGTGAAATGAGTCAGAAAGAGAGGGACAGACATAGAAGAACTGCACCCATTTGTGAAGTATAAAATAATATAACGTGAAGCTGACATCCAATGACAGTAGACACAAGGGCGAGAAAAATTGCTCCATATCTGGAAGCCTGCCTCATGAGCGGAGGGGAGAAGGCAGCTGGAATAGAGAAGAGATCACTAAGAAAAAGATGTCTGGAGGAATCAGTCGGGATGGGAGATGTGTGCTGAAAGTAGATAGATAATGGACCAAACATGGTAACCTCTCAGTATCTGAATTGCAAACCACAATGCCCAAAAGTAGAGAGAGAGTATGGAGAATATTGTCTGCCACGGAGGCAGGGAAGGGTAAGGAAGGGGGTGTATACTGAGAGATTGGTGGTGGGAATGTGTATTGGTGGAGGGACAGGTGTTTGATCATTGTGTGATTGTAACCCAAACATGAAAGCTTGTAACTGTCTCACAGTGATTCAATAAAATTTTTTTAAAAAATACCTGGGGGAGGTAGAAATAGGTTTTGTGCCTTGGCCTGTTTCCCCTGGCAGCCTGGTAGCCACCATCCTCCAGAGGCCACTGGACAGTCAGGTTTGGGCCCGCAGTGATGAGACACGTTCCTCCCTGTTCCAACAAGACCCCGAGTCGCCACCCACTAATGGCCTCTCTGGCTCCTGATCAAGCTGCTTAACAGCCATGATCCCAGAGACTCAGGAACAAATCTTGAAACCCAGCGGCTTTTGGCAGAAATGCGTCCGCACCCTGCAGTAGGTTACTGTCGCCGGGCCACCCCAGGGGGGAAAGGGTGCTGTCCCTCCACCTGCTCCCCCTTGGTGGCTCAGTGGCCGCCATCTGCCAGAGGCCATTGGACAGTCAGGTTTGGGCCCTCTGTGATGAGAAACGTGGGGCCTAACGGGATGGGGGTGGAGCTGGCCCTTTCCTCCCCATCCCAACGAGATCCCTAGTTGCCGTCCACTAATGGCCTTTCTGGCTCCTGATCAAGCTGCTAACAGCCATGATCCAAGAGATTCAGGAACAAATCTTGGAACTCAACAGGTTTTGGCAGAAATCCCTCCAGATTTAATTGTTAAAATTTCAGAATTTTAGAATCGCGCGGCCACTACTGCAGCCACATGACATCATATGTTATTCATAACCAGCAATAGAAAACAAATTGTCTACTGTTGCCTTTTCAGCAGATCTGATTTTTGGGGTAAAATCCCAAATAATAATGGCGGGTCTGGTGTCAAAATATTGAATGTAATCAAAGTAGAGAGAGAATAATGTGGAGATCATATGTCCCACAGGTAGGGGGAGGGTGCGGGATGGGGGTATACTGGGGTTTTTGGTAGTGGAGAATGGGCACTGGTGAAGGTAGGGGTGTTTCATTGTATGACCGAGACTTAAACCCGAAAGTTTTGACCGAGACTTAATCCCGAAAGTTTTGGAATTGCTCTCACGGTGATTCAATAAATAAAATTACAAAAAATTAAAATAAAAAAAAGTAAGGTGGAGTTCATGCCCAATTCAATCAGCCTAACCAGTGGCTGAATAAATAGCAGTACTCCTACATAAAAAAAAAATACCTGGGGGGCGGGCAGGGAGATAGTACTGCAAGTTAAGCATGTTTCTTGCTTGTGGCTGACCCAGCTTCATTCCCTGGTACCACATATAGTCCCCTGAGATCCACCAGAAAATATTCCTGAGTACAGAACTGGGAGTAAGCCCTGAGCACTGCCAAGTATGACCCAAAAGCCAATAAAATAAAATAAAATAAAAAATACCAGTAGATGAACAAAAGGGCACGGGCATGCCAACCTGTCGGCAACAGAGTATACTTCCATAATGACCACAGTAAACTAGAAGTCAACACTCAGATAAGAAGGGCTCTTCTGAAAATCCATGGTTTTTACCAACAATTATATTATGTGTTAAGTGTACTTTGAAAGCAATTTGAAACATGAAACCTATCACTGAAACAGAATTACATCATTGATCAGATGAAATGAGTAATTTCAGGATTCCAAACAATGTATAATTTTGTTTAATCTCCGAACTTTAATAGGCTTATTTTCAATAAAGAAAAAAAATTACCATAGGGCCAGAGAGATGGTATATGTAGGCACTTGTCTTACCCTAATACATTACCTGCTACCACAGAAGCTCTGTTAAACACGGCTAAGACTGATTGATTCCTGTTGGGACCAGAGCGATAGTACTATGGTTCGAGCATTTGCCTTGCATGCACTCGACCCAGATTCGATCCCTGGCATCCATATTGTGTGTCCTCCACCTTCTGCCACCCCACAGAGCAGTTGCTGAATGCAGAGCCAGGAGTGAGTCCTGAGCATCACCAGGTGTACCCCCTCACAAAAAAAAAAACCAAACACTGATTCCTGAGTACAACCAGGTATGACTCACCTATCCTCCAAAATACATATGTATACATAGCACTGTAGCACTGTCCTCCCATTGTTCATCGATTTGCTCGAGCAGGCACCAGTAACATCTCCATTGTGAGACTTGTTGTACTGTTTTTGGCATATCTAATACACCGTGGGGAGCTTGCCAGGCTCTGCTGTGCAGGCAGGATACTCTCAGTAGCTTGCCAGGCTCTCCGAGAGGGATGGAAGAATCAAACCCAGATCGGCCGTGTGCAAGACAAACACCCTACCCACTATGCTATCGCTCCAGTCCTGTGTATACACATATACATATATACATATATGTATATGTATATATACACACATGCATAATACACACATATATACACATTCACAACATGTATGTTGGGTGATTAAAAAGATGAGTAAAAATGATTT